AAAAAAAAAAAACAGAGAGCTGCAAAATGGAAAATATTTTTTCTCAAGTCCCTTTTTGCTCTGATGATAGTCCAGGATAGCCTGAAACACGTTTCCTCTTGCGCTTTCCTTTAGAAGGATCAGGTCCCAGCTGTCACTCTCCTAAAGAACTGGAAGGTCACAGTTCTCAGCTGAGGGAAGAGACAATGGTGCACCTTGGCAATCCCAAAACTAGGTTTCCACCACTCATCTCTACTGGGTGTACAGGCTGTAGTCTAGCGAGGAGGAACCACCTTCAAAAGGACAGCAAGAAAGCTTGTTCCAATCTCCAGAGGGGAGAAGGCACCTGAACTACGAGAAGATTATTAGGAGTTAGAGCAAATAGATGGGATGCGCAAGAACTTGCATGGAAGGTTTCAATGCAGAAATTTCAGTCCATGAGAAGTTTTACAGAGGATGTGAACATAAATGAAAATGGCAGGAATCAGAGATGAAGAGAGAACTTCAGAGATCTCGTCCTCTCCATTCACCTACTCAACAGGACACAACCATTCCTTTATTTTATATTTTTAAACTTATTGCTTAGTTGCTCAGCCTGGAGTTGTACCAACCGTTTCAGTGGACAGAACGTCCGTTTTCCTCAAAATTACCTTTCTCAAACATCTATTTGGCCTGGTTCTGCTCTCGAAACATGGAGAGGGTCTCAAAATCTGAGGTGACACGACCAAAGCCTCAGAGTTACTGAGTAACCAGGACCGGAAAAGCAGTTCTACCAACTATTCCTATTTCACTTTGGTGTACTGAGACATCCTCCTCTTGGCCTTTCCCCTCTAATCTCCTGTTTGTTCTGCCAGTCTTGGTTGACCTCCCTGTTTGCCTTTCTGCTACCTGTCTTGCAATTCTCTTGGCCACTTCTCTGGCACAAATAGTGAGGTACAGTATTACACCTGCAGGGATAAAGAAGCAAGCGGGACCACTTTGTCTCCTTCTAGCTGCAGGGACAACAGAGCTACCCAATACTGCAGGACGTGAATGGGCTCGAGGAGAAAACTCCAAGGCAGAACTCCCCAAAAATCTTAGTCCTTCATACCCAGTCTTGTTCTGGGAGAAGAAACCCTCCAGCTATCCAACTTGAAGAACTTTCGTAAGCCATGGATGGTCGTGCTCTGCAGTGAGTACTACAGGCAGGGGAGGGAACAGTGGGAATGTTACCTCAGAGATAAGGGCCCACACCAGCCTCCGCGCCAGCATCACTGTGATGAACGCCGCCAGGTGGTAGTCAATAAGGTGAAAATTCTGAAGGAGGAAAGAAAAAAGGTCTTCACCTGGGGAAGGGACTCTGAAACCACCCAGCTGGGGTGGGACCAGAAAGCTGGCTGCTGAGAACGCATTAGGACCTCGTGTAAGCATTCCCCAAATCTCTCTATTAGGGATGAGGGAGAAGGGATAAACATCAGTAACATGGAAATGTCTCCAGAAGGAAGATCTTCCCCACATAGAGATTCCTTTCCACTGAGAGATTGCCACTGAAAACAACACAAACCCACCCTTCAGGCAGGTATTTTGGGGGTCAAAGGGACATCTAGGACCAGGATCCTACTATGGAGAACAGCTTGCAAGTTCTCCTGCGAAAAGCCTCTAAGCAACCAGAGCAAGGGCAGCTGAAGCAGAGTCCAGAGCGAGCACACCAGCTCACTTCAGCTCTTGGTCTCAGAAATGGTCTGTAGTGACTGGTGCTCCCTGATAATCGAGTTGATCTGAGAAATGTCATCTTCAGGGGCCACTGATCTGTATTAGAAGTTTAACGTTGGCTCTGGCTGCATCAAGTTAGATCCAGCTCTTGGACCCTTTATGACTTTTCAGTGAAGCCATCAAACATGTTCTGGCTAGAACAGTTAGCAGACTCTGAATACTGCTGTTTGGGACTTCAAGGACATTTTGGGTAAAAAAGAATGCTTGACTTCTGATGGGAACAAACAACTGACCATGAAATCCTTTCCGGTAGGGAGCCTGAACCAGAATGCTTTTTCTTCAAAGAAAGCTGTGTCCAGCATCGTATAGCTGAACTTGAAACTGGTAACTGGAACACCAGCACCACCTGTTGGTATGGTTAACGAAGGAACCACCTCATGCTTCCCAGGAGCAAGGACACAATACAAACTGAAGGACCACTTCAGAGGCTAGCTTCGCTCAGATGAGGTTTTCTGACTCAGGTACAGGTCACTGTCAGGTTGTGCAGCTTATTGGGCCAGGAGGACGACTGAAACCGAGGAGACTGGGAGGTTTACATACGCTGAGGATCTGACCCCCTCCCCAACTCCTCTGTTGCTGACCTGCTGTGAGATCCTAATGTAAACTCGCATCATCACCCTTCTCTCAGGCTCTGTTGTTTCCACTGGGAAGGGGCACCCACAGCAGGAGGGCGCAAGCTCCTGCAGCCTCAACCCCATGTCAAACCATGGCCAGCTAGGCCATGCAAACATCTGCAGGAAATTTCCACTGAAGGAGTCCTGCTGACACCTCTCTCTCACCTTCCATGTATTTTCTCCCCTGTAAAATGGGGGGATGACATGGCCCTGGCTGATGGGGGTGCACGTGAACTCCCCTTCGCTCCCTTAATGTCAAATGCTTGGTGACTTCTGGACTGAAGAAGCATGAAAAGAAGCTGGGTAATGAAAAAGCACAAGCGATGGCATTTGCTGGGGAACTCACCAGTGAGGTGCAAGAAGCAGGGTGATTGTATGGGTACCACCAGACAGTCTTGTAGATGTTGATGTACTGAATGAAGAGGGCTACCAGCAGGTAGATGAAGAACAGGAACTCAAAGAGAAGGCTCCCATCCAACGGCAGTTCAGGGATCCGGCAGTGACGTACAGGCTCTGGAGTAATCAGCGCTGTGATCGGAGGCGCAGAGAGGCTGATGGCACTACCATTCCTGAAGCAGACAGACATCACTCACTTGGTAAACATTCTACATCATCTCTACAATTTTCCAGGACAGGGAGTGCTTGGGGTTGTGAATTTGGGACTGGGCATTGCTAGAGGAGAGATGGCAGCAGTCTTGCATTCACACTTCTGGCGCAAGGCCGGTGGTGAGCTTCATCATCATCTCAGCTCAGAAGAAACCTTTATCCAGCGCTTTCGCTAGACAACAGATCCATCTGCCAGAGGTGCTGTGACATGCCCAGCAGTATTTCAGTAAACTCGGAGATGGAGGAACAGAGGTACGGAGTGAGGAAGCAACACCAAGCAAAAATAATTGAGGACTGTGCCAGACTGAGCACTTCCACCCATCACTAGGACATTACAGTAGCACCTAGCCTCCTTCTCCAGGGCAAAGTGCCCATTATCCTTCTGCTCACAGTTCCTCTCTTGAAAAGAGAGGTAACTAAAAATGGAACTGAGGAGTTCGGCCACTTCCTAGAGGCTGACCTCTCCAGTGTTCTCACACTTCCTTCTCTCCTAGCCTTCGAGGAGGATAGGACAACTCAAAGCTCCAGCAGACTGAACTGATGGAGGAAGTTCAGACATAAACTATGCTGTGTCTGACTGAAACCAGGGTAAGCGACACTCCTCCAGAACCCTGGGCCACTTACTCCATGGTCTCAAGAGTCACTTGTTCCTCAAGAACCTAAGACTGTGCCATCCACCCATCTGTCCCAGCCAGAGAAGTCTTTAAGTCTTTGTCCCTTTTAGTCTTTATGCTGAATGTGGAGATCTAAACGTCACCGTGTGTTCCTTTTTCGGCCCCCAACTTCCCCAGAAAGTGGAGAGCAGCTTTACCAACTGTGAGAATCAGTTTCATCTGCAGCCAGAAGGGCCAAAATAGAATATAGCCATCCTCCTGCTCTGCCTTTCTGTCCCGTAGGAAGGGGACTCGTGGTGAGCTCCTGACATGTCACAGTAACTCCCTCTGGTATTGCAGGCAAGCGAGCAAGAGAGACAAGGACTCGTAACCTGGTAGGACTCGCTGCCTTGGGATGTGCTGCAGGAAAAGACGAACTGCACACCAAGGGGTTTCCACCCGTGGCCGTTGTGACCACAGTGAGCAGTGAAAGGTGGCTGAGACCACTTCCACAATCCTCCCCACAGGGCTGATTTTAATGCATGAAGTCAAGAAAGGGGCCGCAGAGGGAAGCACGTGCCACAGCAGAGCTGGGAAGAGAAGCAGGAAGAGGTTTGTCACGCAGGTCACGTTCCCTCTTGAATGGGCCATCTCCTAACACCACAGCAGAGGTCTCGAGGGTTCCATCTCCCAGTTTCTCACTTTAACCTCGAAGCTGCACTCCCGTTCGGAGCGGACCAAGGCTCCTAGCTTTTCCATCGTAGCCCCAGGTGTCTCAGCATCCCTACCTTTGTCCTCACCTGTTTCTCAAACCAGTACCGTTTCCGCAGCTCCCGCCAACCAGCGTCTGGAGAGAAGGCAAAGCTGAACGGCTTAGCTGCTGCCGGCTGGGTCCCCTCCTTCCACCGGGCATGACCAGGAACCAATCCACTTCCAGTGCCTCCGGCAGGCTGTGCCCTGAGATCCAGACAACGATCCCGAAGCCTTCCCAGGTCTGCAAAGGAGGCAGAACATCACTGAAGCTGCAAACTGCTGGTCACCTCGTTCATGTTCACACCCCAGCTGAGCGATTCATGCAAAAGGAAGCCACTCTCAGACGTTCAGACACCCATCACCACCCTGAAACGCCGTGCCATTTCAACAGCACCGGATCGGCGTCCGGCTGCGTCCGCAGAACGACTATAACCGACTGCTTAAATTAGCCACCGGCCACTGCCAGTGCTTCCTGCTGGCTGGAAAGCACCACTGAGCATCTCTGGCACTGGAGACGGCGCAGCTACGTGTCTCCTTCGAAATCAAACCTGGGAAGAGCCCTCTCCTTCTTCTGGCACAAGGAGCTACTAGAGCTTTGCAGGTCTTTTCAACCACCCAAGACATCACTTGACAGGATGTGATGCTGGACCCCCTCTGCCAGAGCTCAGGACAGGCAGAGCCTTAATTGGTCTCCGTGAAGTTAATTGCATGGTTCAGCTCCCTGCTGTGCCAAGGAAGCCCGACTGATGGGATGGCAGGACATCTGCTCAAGAGTGGTTCCACCTAGCAGAGAAGCGCAGCAAAACACCCGTGTGTGCACGTCCTTCAAATACATGGCTAGGAAATCACAGATCCTCTTCAAAAAAAAATATATATTAAAACATAAGCCTGTAAATATTTATTTGTTTGAATTTTGCTGGTCTCCCACCCATCATTTCACGAATTTCGGAAGTCAGGTAAGTTTCCAACGGCTAACAGACATCAAAGAGTGAGGGGCTGAACTGGAGAGCGAATCTGGAAGTTTCAAGTCGTTCCTGGGACATTCCAACGTTTCCAACATTCCTTTGTTCTGGAAGTCATTCCAAGCACACGCACACAGGCTGTGCAGAATCCAGACACTGAGCGAGCACCTCGCTCCAAGGACTCTGGTGTGTCTCTGTGTCTGGAGACTCATCTGCCCTTTTGGCAAAACACAGAAACAAGCCAGGGTCCAAAAAAAGCACTCCTACCTTCTGGGAAACTCTGGATCTGGCTTCGAAATTTACGGATGGAACCTATCTAGATGACAATTTATAATTCAGTTATCGCCTCCTTTAAAATCCTGAGAAATCACAGCTGGCAGAAACGCCAGGAAGTTTGCTCAGTGAGTCACACCACTGTCACCATGAACACCGTGCGCAGGAGAACGATTCTGAAAAAACACTCACAAAGAATCCCCTTTTGTATTAAAATTTCCCATCCTTCGCCTCTACTGCAGAAACCAATTCCCAAAATTTCAACAAAAATCAAATAAAACATTTCAAAAGACATACCTACATGAAGGTCATCTGAGGAAAAAAAAAAAAAAAGTAAACCAAATATCCTGGAGGGCAGGGGGCGGGCGGGGAGAAGTTGTGAAATTGCATGAAAGGAGAGTAAATATTGGACAATTTGGGTTTGGAGGGAAATAATGTGTTTTGGCAGACTTCAAAACTCTCATTATAACCCATGACAACACAACAGAGAACTGAAGCCTTCCTTACCTTCCTAGTCAAGGCTCCAAAGCTTTCAGAGAACCTTCTCTAGGACGTTCTAGAGTTTTATTTGGGAATATTTGTATTTCAGGAACTAAATATAAACAGGAGAAAATTCCACTGCATGCACAAGATGAGCAGGGACAGCAGCAGACAATGCTGCGTTCACTTAGGGCATCTGGACGCTTGACATAAGCAGCTAAGGTGAAGAAAAAATAAGAAAAACCTCTAAAAGGAGCAACTTTGAAAGCCATTTTAAGCCAAATCAAACTATTACAGGGACTGTGAAAGCTAAAACAATTGGCCTCATTCAACCTACAGGTTATTTATGATAAGGGATGCAATACATTGGTGGCCTAATTACTCATATTAACAGTGGAAGGTATTGTATGCCACATCAATAATTGATGTAAATAACTGAACAGCTCTCGTTAGCGTTATCTCATTAGTATGATTCACACGCTCGCCAGTATAGGCGCTTGGACACTGCACTTAACGTCAGTGCACCATATTTTAAATGCACTTGAATAGCCCTTTCACAGAGATCCATGAACATATGGACTGGGCAGTTCCTCACGCCAAGTTTTAAATAACTTTACCTCACTGGAGCCTGATCAAATTAGGTGGGTGTCTGTTAGAGGAAAATCTGCCCAATAACCATTTTTTTGTGTGTGTTTGCTTTTGTTTTGTAAAACTAGCCACGCAAAACTGAAGCTCCTCAGATGAAGTTAAACACAGCAGTAAGATTACACATCAGTTTGACTCGAAGTCTGCTTTTTTTGGCCTTGAACCAATCAACAGCCCTCCTTTTTGAGGAGAGAATCATGGCAAAAAGCCTTTTTATGGTTTTCAATTAATAAACAAAGGCAAGGCAGGGGGGTTGGAACTAGATGATCTTTGAGGTCCCTTCCAACCCAAACCATTCTAGGATTCTATGATTCTACTGTGAAAAACACGCTAACGAGAAAAAAAAAAGTGTCCATGACCCTTTTCTCCAACAGATAAGATTCCTGTGTGCATCCAAGTCACATTAAGTATTAAAAAAGAGCCCGCAGAGCAAGCTGGGAGACTACCAGGCTCCCTTCTCTGTTTGCAGAGTCCCCACCACATGTAGTTACACATCAGTGATCTTATTTTATAGAGTCACAGGCACAAAACGTGAATAATAGAAGATAAAAGCTTTTCCTGACAAGACTCTTCAGTCCATTAACGTGGTTCCACATTGTTCTTCCCAGTTCACCTACAACTACCCTCAAAAACATGTCACGTACTTGTAGTCCCTTCATCCCTAGAACAGAAACTGCCTAGCTTCCAAGATCTCCTCTCTCAGGTAGATGTGGGCATCGTAAAAACACACATGAAGGATCTGGGGACCAGCTACAGAACAGTGGACAAGTGGTCCTGTCCACGCACAGGGAACAGATACGGGTACAGACAGCTCTTGGGTCCCAGAGAGGGACAGAGACAAAACCTTCAGCTGTGACACGGTTCTGAGAAGATCCAGGAACATAAGGCATCAGACCCTCTGGTTTCCAGTCCATGCTTTTAGGACTACAGAAAGCACTCGGGCATTTTGTTTCTCTGCACCAACATCCCTCTTCCCCATCAGTTCCCCAGCTATCCCGATGAAGCAGGATCAAGGCAGGCAAGAATCACAGCTGTGAGCAAGGCTTTGCTGACGAAGAGCTGGGCAGACAAACTATCCACCAGTTCAGAGGTGAAGCAGCGTGCAGACCCGTCCTGCCCCCCAGGGACCATCACTCAGAATCACGTTCCTGCATCAGCAGCTGCCCAAACAGCTCTTACAAGAGGCAAATCAGGAGAGAGTCAGTGACTCATCAGAACGAAAAGTCTGCACAGTTCTCCATCTCTTTGCTGGAAACGCTACAATGCTCAGCCAGTTATTTTGATGGAGTTAAAATTTTTTTTAATTGGGGAAAACGCCAAGCCTCCAATCCTCTCGGGAAGCTTGCTGCACCGAGGCGTGAGAACTTTCAGAGCTCAGTAAATATTCCGGAGGCTCTCCTTGGCTCCACAAGTCCAACAACCAGATGCTCTCAAGAGCAGAAAGGGAAAACGCAGCCACGCTTGCTTGCAGCACCCTGGCTTGAGGAGACCACAGGACTCTCGTTGCAACTCTCCATCTTGATCAAAGCAGCTGCCGTCCTGCTGAGTGGGCACACGACGTCTCGGGGCGAAGCCACGTGTCACCTCCGCGGCCGTTGGCGAGGGAGCTCTGCTGATAGTCCTAATGCCCTGAACCACAGAACTGGAACAGGGAAAGTACAAGCCAAGGAGCGTGGAAGCAGCAGTGCCAGGAGCGGCTGGTCAGTGTCACGGCAAGCAGCAGCATCCATCCCCAGAGCACTCCCACATCCGGGTATCCAGCAATTCCTCCCCTCGCTGCAGCGGCCGCCTGTCCCCTGCTGTCAGGAGCACTGGCTTCTAGGTCATTTTCCTTCAAAAAGAAACGTACATCATGGAACTGGACTGTTTGGATAGCGTCAACGCGCAAGCTCCCAGACCACGAAGGCAAGGGACCGTTTAAGTAAGACCTTGCTGGTTCACCATGGCCGGAGTGAAAGGTCCTGTCCCCAGGGCTGCCACCGAACAGCACGGCCAGCACCCGTACACCTTTGGAGGGTGCCAATGGCCAATGCCCATCGGCAAGGTGAGGACAACTCACTGCGTCCCAGACAGCGCCTTATTTATAAAACCTTGCTTGCAAAACTGCAAGAGACAGTTACCAGCCCTTGGTGAAACCATTTCTGGAAGGATGGGAGGAGCAAAGTAGGGTAGGATTCTCTAACTTTTGGGATTACATATATGACCGTAAGAGTCATGACTTTCAGCAGGCAGACAAACAGCTCTTTCTCCTCTTCCTCCTTCCCACCCCACCAGCCCCTGAAGCTGAAACAAGCCATGTAAAAAAGTCTTTCAGTTACCAACGTCCTCACTTCAAGTCGCTGTAGCTGGTCAGCCTAATCCCAAACTTCCATTTGTCCAGCCATCTTAATGCCTTTGCCAATTATCGGCGAATTCACCTTATAGTCAAGTTTTCTTTTGAACTGCTGTGCGTCCTGGCTACTATGGCTTGGTTTTACTTCCTTTACTGAAAGCTTTTCATTTATTTCTTTAAACAAAAAAACATTTTGACAGATGGAAAAACTGAGACACAAAGCTGGTAACCGATTCGCCCAACACAGTGTCAAAAAAAAAAAATTATAAATTAAAAAAAAAAAAATCAAGAAAGGAGCCTAGGGACAGCAACGGCTGCACCTACGCCTCAGTCATGGGGGTGCCTTGTCGGTGCTGTCGGATCTGCCACGCCGAAAGCTGAGAAGCTGCAAAAATCCTGTGGAAGCCCTAAGTTGGTTCAGGAATGAAAAAGCATTCGATTGTCGTTGAGGGAGGAAACAACCGACAGGTTATCAGATGGAAAGCTAAATATTTGGCAGAGCTCTGCCAGCGCTAAGTCAACACAACCTTTCAACCCAGGCTG